AACAATTATTATACATCATTTTAAAGAGAAAGCTTTGAGCTTTAATTTAAAATAAGTTTCATTCCTTAATTTCAATAAATACGGCTTACAGAAATTTTTAAATTAGCATATTTTTAACATTTTTAGGTTATTCGAAAATGTAAGTTTTGTTTAAAAATTTTTTTTCTCTGTATTTTTCCAATCCAACCCAACAATTATTATACATCATTTTAAAGAAAAAGCTTTGAGCTTCAATTTAAAATAAGTTTTATTTCTTAATTTCAATAAACACGGTTTCCAGGAATTTTTGAATTAGCATCTTTTTTGACACTTAGACTATGCGAAAATAGGGGGATTGCATATTTTGCTAAAATTTTATTCCAAAGGCCTTTACTGAGTGTATTTTGATAGCGTTTTAATTCTGTCTGATTCTGTCACAAAGTTTCAAAATGTTTGACTTCTTGAGCCACAAAGGGTTAAGTAAGTTTTAATTAAACAGTGGTTCATAATTTATTCATTAATTGTTAATTTATTTCATTTTCGGCTTGTAAAAACACCAACAGATTCACAAGACGTTTCGATTTGAGGTTATAATTATAGAGTTACATCCTTTAGAAGAACAGACGTACTTTTTTGACGTGGCTATTTGAATAGTACAGCAGACATATTAAACTAATGCTATCTCTTTCTAACACACATTACTCTCTAGCGGTTTGTGAACTACGTATGGCATTTGTAAGAGCGGAAAATGATGATTTACTGCCAGCTCTCGTGGCGTCTACTATATTCCCATTTCCATTGCTCTTCTACGAATTCTCTCTTCTGTCATTTTGACTAGGTATCCATACCAGCTCAGCTGTTTGTTTTCTATTTCAGTTAGTATTTGTTCAAAATCGTCTCTTATTTTTTTTTCTCATTTTTGTTTTCCCCACAATCTTCCATAAAAATTCCATTTCAGCTGTTATTTTTCGTTTGTGTTTATCTCTCATCGGCCATGTTGCGGCTCCATATGTGAGGGTCGGTGTATACGTATATACAGTATGTCCCCGGATCGAGTTACAAAGAGCAAAAAAATTTTTGTTACTGATTTTTCAAACTTATCTCAGCATAAATAATGCGTCGGATATGTTCAAACTACTAAATCGCATGAATTTTATACTCTAACTATAAAAGTTAACTAATTATTCCAATTTTTATGTAAAAATTGGACTCTTTTCTAAATTGAAAATTGAAATTGAAGTTCAATTTATGATATGTAACCATAGAAACCATAAAACTTACAACTTATGTTGGTGAGATTAAGTCTTTTCATGCGATGTTAACCGTGAAAGAGAGAATTTATTTAGTACTGTGCTATGGTACTAGTGAATCATGTTTTCATGTAGTTATACAAAAATTTCAGCAAAAATATCCGGACACAAGAATATCTCATGTGGGGCTCGCAAACTTATGAAAAAAAATTTTGAAACGTGTTCTGTATTATCCATAAAGAGGCAGATAAAGAGATTAAATGAGGAAGACGCTGCTTTTCAGATAACTTTTCAACAAATGACATTGTTTCTTCCCAGCATTGTTATTGGAGTAATGTAAATCCAATTACCCTTAAATTTTATACGGTCAATGTACAGGGTCCGGCAGTGATAAGGAAAGATTTAAAGTTGGGTTTGCAGCGCGCCGCGAAGTAATGGGGAAGAAAGTAGCCAACTTGCCAAGACCTGCATAATTTGCCATTTAGTTTACAATGGAGCGTTGGGCGGGTGAGCAGCGCGGTTACGCAGTTAAAGCCTATGTTCAAAACGGTGAGATTTCGGCAAATGGGCAAATCATCGGTCCATATTTTTTTGAAAATGAGGCTGAAAATGCCGTTACCATTAATTCTGTACGATACGTTGCAATGATTCAGAATTATCTCACACCACAACTTGAAGGCCTTCCAGGGAATGAAGACACACTTTTTCAACAAGATGGGGTAACAAGTAATTGCTTTGAAACGGCGATATCAGTTGGCCCCCTCGGTTTCACGACCTAATCCCCTGCGACTTCTTTCTTGCAGAGCTTCTTTATGCAAAATTTTCAGACACGACTCCAAGAATACATAAATTGTAACAGAGGACATTTGCATGTAGTATTCAAAAAATAATTTTTTTGACTTTGTTAACCAAATGGATGATTTGCTATTTGGTTTACAAAGTCAGGTTTGGCAAGTCAGCTACTTTCTTTCCCATCACTTCGCGGCGCGCTGCAAATCCTACCTTAAATCTTTCTTTTTCACTGTCGGACCCTGTACTTTCAGCAAGACAGTTGCCCAGCTTACCATTCACACATTGTGCCAAATGGCTAAATTTACAATTTCGTCAAAAATGGATTGGACGAAATGGTTCTATTTGATGGCCAACACGTAGTCCTGATCTTACAATTATGGATTTTTAATTTTTTAGACGATTGAAACAAATATGTTTGTTGTATGAAAATTTCTCACAGTGTTAATAAAAGTGTCTTCTTTCCAATGAACCAACCGGTTTTGAAAAATAGCTTTTAAATTTTTGAAATGATTGACAATTTTTTTGAATTTTGCAATTTTCGCCGATTAAGTTTTAAAAATTCCTATAAAATCCATTTCTTGGAATATGAGTATGAAAATTTCTCAAAGTGTTAATAAAAATGTCTTCTTTGCAATGAACCAACCCGTTTTGAAAAATAGCTTTTAGTTTTTAAGAAAACAATATTTGAAGTTTTGAGAAAATTTTCGATGTTACAATTTTCATCGATAACTTTCAAAATTCGCTATAAAATTCATTTCTTGAAAGATCATTGTGGAAATATCACTAATTATTAATTAAAGTATGTTCTTTTTAATGCAACAAGCCGTTTTGAAAAATCGCTTATAATTTTTGAGAAATAAATTTTTGAAATGATCGACAATTTTTTCGAATTTTGCAATTTTCGCCATTTGAGGTTTAAAAATTCGTATAAGATCCATTTCTTGGAATATGAATATGGAAATTTCCCAAAATGTTAATAAAAGTGTCCTCTTTCCAATGAACCCACCCGTTTAAAAAAAAAACTTTTAGTTTTTGAGAAAACAATAATTGAAATTTTGAAAATTTTCGATGTTGCAATTTTCATCGATAACTTTCAAAATTTGCTATAAAATTAATTTCTTGAAGGATCCTTGTGGAAATATCACCTATTATTAATTAAACTATCCTCTTTTTAATGCAACAAGCCGTTTTGAAAAATCACTTTCAGTTCTTGAGAAATAAATTTTTGAAATGATCGACAATTTTTTCGAATTTTGCAATTTTCGCCGATTAAGTTTTAAAAATTCGTATAAAATCCATTTCTATCATGGTTATTATGACCACATAGAGTTGAAGCTTTGATTGGACTTGATACTTAATTGAATTCAAAAAGTTGCCCAACTGAACATGGGAAGTTCTGATCATGTTAGTTTGGCACTTAATTACTTAGAGCCAAAATGTGCCCGAAAAAGATGTCCGAAAATTATCTGAGGATTGATCAGACAAGCTACACAGATTGATAGAAAACTAAATATTTCTTGCAGAAAACTACTTACTGCTTGTGAAAGACTACTTACTACTACCAGAAGACTGACTGTCTTATACGTCAACTACAACATGCAGAACTCGTTTTCTTCAACACTCTCTCTTCATTCGTTCCAAACATTACATTAATATAATTAATTAATAGTCGCATACAATTTTTTTATTAACCTCGTTGACCACATCACTCCTTCTTTTTTGTCTCCTCAACCACGCCTTTGTTATTATTTAATTATTAGGGCACGGAACTTTTGTAACAAAACGATNACTTTCAAAATTCGCTATAAAATTAATTTCTTGAAGGATCCTTGTGGAAATATCGCCAATTATTAATTAAAGTATCCTCTTTTTAGAGTTGCTTCATTAGTTAAATCAGCATCAAAAAAGTTCTTTTTGTATCTTGGATCCAAATAAGTTGACATATCTTATCAGCTTTCTTATTAATTTAATTTTTATTCAAATATCGCAATAATGTGGCAATATGGGGCAAAATCACTATCCGTTCCATCACTAATTAGCAAGTGATCCAAATATATTTAAAAGCTGTATACCGTACTTTTCTTGATTTACTACGTGGGCCAAAGAGTATCGAAATCTTCTTGATCCAAATCTTAAGATATGCCATATTTTCAAATCTCATCGTTAATTTCTTACTTGTTAAAACTCATTGTGTAAATCGTACAAATGTTGCTTCACAATGATAACAATTTTACGGTTATTAATAACATGTTTACGTTTTTATTTTATTTATTTATTTGTTATTCATGATTAGATTAAAATTATTAAAATATTTATGTTTAACCAGAATCTGATGGAATCAACTTCAAGGATTTTTCGGAATTATTCATGGAATATTTAATAAATTTACAATATATTTACTTCAAATTACTTTAATATAACATCAACTAAATCTAAAAAGAACTCATAAAGTTTTTCTTTATAAACCGGATCCTGTTTAAACATTTTTTCCATAACAACACTTCGAGTTTTCAACATTATCTCACCAACAGAATCCGAATTAGATAATATATCCGATAACAATTTACGGTCAATCATGGTTAAATGGCCGTATGTGCTGGCTTGACAGATAGCAAATTTTTTATAATATTCAATGCTTTCATTAAAATCTTCTTTTGAAAAAATTGTTTCAACATCCAACCCATATTCTTTTAACACATCCCGTAATCGATCATAATAAAACGTAAAACAATAGTTTAAGTAATCTTTCCGGAATTTTCGATTGGTGGAAAAATATAAAAATGTTATCACATCTGTTGTTGGTGGATTGTATCGATACATTTGGAAATCGACCATTTTAAAACCAACTGGGATATCGCCGTCGTGTTTAAACATGATATTAGAGGTCCATAAATCTCCATGACACACAACGTTTCGGTATTTAACGGATGGTTTGACGTAAATTGGAAATTTATCGCTGATTTTGTAAATGTTTTTCTTAAAATTTTCGTCGTCGAAATCATCTCCTAAAATATTTTTGCATAAATCAACGTGAGTTTCAACCCCAGTTTTCATAGATTTGATGAAATCTTTTGTAATATCCTTTTCGGTGTAAATCGCTTCATTGAGAAAATCAGAAAATTCATTTGAAAGTCGATAAGTTTTTCCGGTCTTTTTCGATAAAGATTCTTCTAAAATGTAGCTTGAAGCGTGGAATTTTGCAAGATTTTTTAAGGCAATCTCAACTTGTCGAAGACTTAAACTTTTCCGAGCATCTAAAACTTCGTAATTTTGCAACGATAAATCTTCAAGGATGAATTTATTCAAACTTTGAATAAAGTAACATTTTGGGACGCAATCTTGAATAATTTTAACTCCGTTATCGAGACACGATTTGAGTAATTTTGAATAAAACCCTTCTTCTTTTGTGGCGGCTCCGTTATCGAGTACAAATCTTCTTTGTGATTCGGCCAAAGCAAGCGTTTTAACGAAAAATTGTTTTTCTTTTAGACCTTTTTCATCGGAATATTTAATTTTTAATTTAAAATATTCCCCCAAAAAACCAAGTTTGGTATCCAAAGGAGTTAATTGGTAATTTTCAACTTTTGATTGATCACCACTATAATTTTTAATGACTTTTTCACATTCTTGATATGAAACAATCGCTTCAATTTTATTTTCCATTGTGGTTTCTGTAGTAAAACCCTAAACTGGACTAATTCTTACAACAGATTTTGTCCGCTTTTATAAACACAGTTTTAACGATGTTTGAGTAGTTAAATATATTTAACAATGGAATTGAATAGAATTCGCGTGGCATATTCATAGGAGTTATGTTATCAACAGAACAAAACGTTTAAACACAATAACATAATAAATAAAACTAACCAGACAAAATCTGAAATGGAAATTTTCATCTTCCTGATTCATTTTTGTTTCCAGGTAGATTTAAACATGAGAATTGGAATACATTCCGGATCTGTTTTATGCGGAGTTCTTGGATTAAGAAAATGGCAATTTGATATTTGGTCTTATGATGTTCGAGTAGCTAACCACATGGAATCTGGGGGAATCCCGGGGTAGATACCTCCCAAATTTTTTTAAATTATTAAAAAGCTTTTTTTAAATTCAATTTAGGCGAGTTCATATTTCTGAAGCAACTCTTAAATGTTTAAACGGTGCTTATGAAGTTGAAGAGGGTAACGGGCAAGAAAGAGATTCTTATTTAAAAGAAGAAGGGATTAAAACGTATTTAATTAAGCAAATAGAACCGATGAGAACACGAAAAAGATTAGCTTCAAGACCAAGGTTTTTCTCTCATTCTCTTTTAATCTAAATAAAATTCACCCATAACTTTATTTTTAGTATATTTTCAAATAAACTTTGGCCAGAAGATGATTCACCGAGTTCAAACAGTTCCCCAAAATCTCCATCACCAACCTTTCAACAACCATCACCTTCTAGAGAAAGAAGCGACAGCGGAATTCAACACAGTACTGTTGACGAAGAAAATACAACCGATTGGACACCGGAAATACCATTTGAAAACGTAAAAAAAATAATTTTTTACATAAAATTTTTAATTAATCTTGTTTTTAGCTCCAAGCCCCAGCGCCTAGAGATATAGAAGAAGATATTGACTCGTTGAATTTTTCAATGACAAAACAAAAATATGAATCAAACGATGCTAGAAAACAAAACTTTCCGAAACCGACGATGGAACAAGAAGTAGACGAAATAATGGACCATAGCATTGAAATTGAAAGTAACAAACGCATGAGGAAAGTTAACGTAAATTTGTGGACGCTTAGATTTAAAGATGACGAAGCTGAAACACTTTTTAGTCAATTAAGGGAGGATATGTTTAAATCAAATATGCTGTGTTGTTTTATTATTTGGTTGTTCATAGTTGGAACGCACATTGCAATTATACCTTTGTAAGTTACCTTTTTATTTTTTATGTATAGAATGATTCAGTACAATCCAATAAGCCATTTAAAATCAATCAAAATTATTATTAATTTAATGCCATCTTGCATGCTTTTCAGAGATAACCCATTTATCTGAATCACAAAACATGCAACAATAAATTTGGGCCATCAAGTTCCATCATATCCAGTTTATATTATTGCATTAAGTTCCAGTGTTGTTTTAATCATTAAGTGTTTTGATTTTAATCCAATATAGTGAACATACTCATAATTCCAGTTCATTAATTGGATTGGTGTGCTAATTTTATTTAAAACTCCGGAACTTCATGGATGTAATTTGCATGGCTAATGCAATTTGAGTCATAAAATGATAAACCTCTCTAAGTTGCAAAAACTTTTGTACGAGGAGTATATGTCAAGAACAGAAATATATAAATTACTCGGGAAATTAAAAGAGAATAACGAAAATGAAGAATTGAAAAACAAAAAGATAAGCAGGAATTACGTCATCTGTCACAATCTTCCTATACTGCTCAAAAGGCAAATTACTGACAATATGATGAAACTTTAGTAAATAGTGTAAACCTGAAATGTCGATGGCAGAACTTATACCATTCAACCTCGCTAATTCGAATTCACTGAGACCAGATAAATTAAGAATAGTTCATTTATATCTAATTGTGCTTCCTTTGTAGATCAAAGTGTTCATTATTTTATTTCCTGGTGTTCAATAATAATATGCCCAACATGATTGTAGTCTACCTCTTTGAGCAATATTTTTACTCTAATTTCTCCGTCGTTGCAGTATTTTTAAAGCGTTTTCTTATTCCTCCGTCACGACCAGATCTTGTTGTAGTGAAACAATCGGTGACAATCTATTGGTCAGCTTTTAGAGCACGTTTCTAATTATCGTGTATCGACACGACAAAATGTCAGGTTTTTATATGGAGGACATTGATATAATTCCGGTTTGTTATTGGAAATATACTTGGCCAAAAATCGTATCAGATTTCATTCGCATATAAGGTTGCTCTTTGTCATATTAGAAATAATTAAATTCTGAAGATTTCCTATTAGTTCATGAAGGAGTGATTCTCTTGAACAAAGTATCCAAACGTTATAAAAATAAGCAATAAAAAATATTGGCTTGGCCAGAAATTTGTTACCTACTAATTTCAGATTTTAACAAGTTGAAAGAAAAACTATGGTCCACGCTGGTACAAAACAAAGTGACGCAAGTGCTAAGTTGTACGAGAAAATAAAGTTTGAAAGTCCAATATTTAGTAATAAAAGGATAAAACTAAGATTAGTTAATGATACTCTTGTAGTAAAAGGAAAACTTATTTTTACAATTTTCTAAAATTTTATCATTATTGTTTTCACAAAAACTAAAAGCTATTTTTCAAAACGGGTTTGTTCATTGGAAAGAAGATACTTTTATTAACACTTTGGGATATTTTCATACTCATATTCCAAGAACTGGATTTGATACGAATTTTTAAAACTTAATCGGCGAAAATTCGCAAAATTGGCAAAATTGTCGTTCATTTCAAAAATTTATTTCTCTAGAACTGAAAGTGATTTTTCAAAACGGCTTTTTGCATTAAAAAGAGGATACTTTAATTAATAATCGAAAGTGATAACAGCGATAGTTCTGTTAGTAATGATTGTGATGATGGATTATAAGCGAAGAGAAGAAAACCACACGAAACTGCAACAAGAGATTGTATATATCGTATTGTGATTGTTAAAATAAGGTTGCTAATGACAAACCTGATATAAATACAGTTGTATTCAATGAAAAAAGTCCTATTGGGGTTGATCTTGATTATTATATAAAAGAGATACTAATTCCTATGAATGGTAGAGTACTAAGTAATAGGTTTTTAATATCTGGCCAAAGCCGGATATTTGGTAACTAACCGGTATCCGGCCGGATTTTAAAAAATGGACGGATAGGCCGGATACTGGATAGTTTCCGGATATCCGTTCTACCACTAGTATCTATCATTATCAAAAGAATATATTTTTAATTACAAAATATTATATTGACTGAAGTCAACTTAAAAGATAATTTGTTCTCTCGTATTGTTAACAATTCAAGAGTAGCTGGTGTGGGAAGACGTAACAGTGTCAACAAAAAAAAACATCTTCATCGCCAAGAACAAAGTTTCTGGTTGCTTTTCTGACAACTATTTTTTTGTAAAATTGGACCATAAAATGTTTTTTGTCTTTCTAGTTGCTAGTTGTACTAGTACATAATCGTTTTCTGAAATAGAGCGGATATTGTAGGACAATCTAGTACAGTTGAATATGACGTCTTGTGAACATTATAAATTTTACTTGGCTCAAATGTCTGTCGCGTTAAATATTGTTTTAAATTTACTAAGAAATCGGATTCGTTTTAGAAAACACGATTGTCCATACTAGTGGAAGGAAAGTGTGACAAGTGAGACAGATTGAGTACCTATTTGCAATTAGATTTGCCAAGAACTTGGAAAAACTACTGGATACGCACGCAGCTTTCCTTACTTTCAGCCGAGAGTTATGAAGTCTGGACGATGTTACACATTTCATATTCGTTCCTTATCAAACTGAGAAAATTTGACCACCCAGATATTCCCCAAAGTGTACTCCTACTGTTAAAAGTTTCGTTTCAAAACAACTAAATATTTCTTATCAAGTACCATTCCGCCTAGAAAACGCTGATGATTTCAACCTTACTTTAATCAAATAAAATACTAAACGGATATCCGGGTTTGGCCAGATATTAAAAACCTATTACTTAGTACTCCATCATTCACAGGAATTAGTATCTCTTTTAGGTGTTGGACACTGCAGATAATAATCAAGTTTAACTCCAATAGGACTTTTTTCATTGAATACAACTTTGTTTATATCAGGTTTATCATTAGCAACCTCATTATAACAATCCCAATACGATATATAAAATCTCTTATTTCAGTTTCATCTAGTTTTGTTCTCTTCGCTTGTAATTCATCATCACAATCATTACTAACAGAACTGTCGCTGTTATCACTTTCGATTATTAATTAAAGTATCTCTTTTTAATGCAAAGAGCCGTTTTGAAAAATCACTTTCAGTTCTCGAGAAATAAATTTTTGAAATGATCGACAATTTTTTCGACTTTTGCAATTTTCGCCGATTAAGTTTTAAAAATTCGTATAAATTCCATTTGTTGGAATATGAATAGAAAATTTTCCAAAATGTTAATAAAGGTGTCCTCTTTCCAATGAACCAACATGTTTGGAAAAATAACTTTTAGTTTTTGAGAAAACAATATTTGAAGTTTTGAAAAAATTTTCGATGTTGCAATTTTCATCGATAATTTTCAAAATTCGCTATACAATTTATTTCTTGAAGGATCCTTGTGGAAATATCACCAATTATTAATTCAAGTATCCGCTTTTTAATGCAAAAAGCCGTTTTGAAACATCACTTTTAGATCTTCAGAAAAAAATGGTTGAAATAATCGACAATTTTTTCGAATTTTGCAATTTTCGCCGATTAAGTTTTAAAAATTCGTATAAAATTCATTTCTTGGAATAGGAGTATGAAAATATCCCAAAGTATTAATAAAAGTGTCCTCTTTCTAATGAATCCACCCGTTTTGAAAAATAACTTTTAATTTTTGAGAAGACAATATTTGAAGTTTTGATAAAATTTTCGATGTTGCAATTTTCATCGATAATTTTCAAAATTTGCTATAAAATTAATTTCTTGAAGGATCCTTGTGGAAACATCACCAATTACTAATTAAAGTACCCTCTTTTTAATACAAAAAGCCGTTTTGAAAAATCCCTTTCAGTTCTTGAGAAATAAATTTTTGAAATGATCGACAATTTTTTCGAATTTTGTAATTTCGCCAATTAAGTTTTAAAAATTCGTATAAAATCCATTTCTTGGAATAGGAGTATGAAAATACCCCAAAGTGTTAATAAAAGTGTCCTCTTTCCAATGAACCAACACGTTTTGAAAAATAACTTTTCGTTTTTGAGAAAATAATATTTGAAGTTTTGATAAAATTTTCGATGTTGCAATTTTCATCGATAACTTTCAAAATTCGCTATAAAATTTATTTCTTGAAGGATCCTTGTGGAAATATCGCCAATTATTAATTAAAGTATCCTCTTTTTAGAGTTGCTTCATTAGTTAAATCAGCATCAAAAAAGTTCATTTTGTATCTTGGATCCAAATAAGTTGACATATCTTATCAGCTTTCTTATTAATTTCATTTTTATTTCAATATCGCAAAGGCGTCTGATTCGTGTTCTTCCCCATATAAGATTTTTCAAGTCCGTGTCTGCAACCTATTACAATGAAAAACACCATCTCAAGCAATTGTAGATTTGAAATGATGACAATTTCTCTGTTAAAACAATACTTTTCAAAATTTTGTTTTAATGTATTACTAATATTAACTAACGAATACCATGTTCATTGCTGTACACATCCACTCATGTTACAGAAATTTGAATAAATTAGCTTTGGATTAACGAGGTTGTACTGTACATTGAAACCTATCTGGCCAACCACAGAAAAAACATATAGAAGTAGTAAAGAAGAAACTCAGCAAGAAAGATCGGACGTTTAGTATTTGACGATGAGATAGGAATATGTTATATCAAATGGAATGTTCTTATTTTATCTACATATCACTTGATGACACTGTTCGGTTAATCTATCGAACCAAATGGTTGGTACAAAAAAAAATGTCAGTGGAGGTACAATGCACAATAAAGTGTTGACGGCAATTCCTTGCCCTAGCAAGATTGGCAAATGCAAAATTGTATCGTTGTAGATACTGTTATTCTCCACAGACGCTGAATCTATCAAACGAAGAAATAACCACTATCGCAAAGCCTTTTATATCTATCCTTCATTAACACCCACTCTAATTGCAACAACTAATACAGATTTTCTTCTTTTACCATGCGCATTTTTGAAATTGAAAGATTTGATGGACATTAGGTCTCCTTAGGAATCCAACTAGAAATTACTTCTGTCGATGGAAGTATTATGACATACATTCCTAAAATCCCATACTCATTATCATAACATTAATATTGATGACCCAAATTTTAATGTCAATTATTATATTAAATAACAATTTTTTTAGGGAAACTTCAACAGTAATATGTTTAATAATAACAACATTATTATTATCAGCAACGTCCGTTTTGGTTATGGCAGAAGAATTTAAACAACTTCCAGCACATTTACGAAATATTTCCACGACTTTGGTACATCACAGAAAAAGTCGAACGCTCTTTATATGCGGAATAATTATTTTAATGTCTTGCGCGAGTACTTTAAGTTTGATTTTATACGTTCCATCAAATTCTTGTGCTGCATCAAATTCTTCAACGTCTATTAACGATACGTTATTAATAGACGATATCCAATCGGATTCGCCAAGTGATCAGGATGAAAATTCATCGAACGAAATCATTTTAAATTTGATATTAACAGCGACGATTCATCATAACATCACTTTTAATAATCAAAATAAGTTTAATGATAGTTGTTTGGAGATTTGCAGAAAATCAAATTGTACCGAATCTTGTATTAAATATTTTATTGATGTTATTGGATGGGATAATCTTTTAAAATTTTCTAATCTTACATCGGAAAATTCGATGAAATTAAAACAATTGTCGGATAGGAACGATTACAGTGGTATAAATATAGAAAATGTTTCAAATAGTATTATAATCAACAATCCGGTTATTGTTGATGGGAAAAATAATACTTTTTGCAATGAATCAAACCAAAGCATTCCTTGTTTTTTACTGAGGAAGAAAAGAGATACTGGGACAAAAACTCCGCCAAATTTAACATTATTAAAAACTTTAAGTGGAAGTAACAAACCAATTACGACTACACAATCACCAACAGACGAAGATATTTGTCAAAATCATGTCAACAAGGAATGCATTCAACCAGAATACTTTGTTTTTACTTGGGTTTTATGTCTAATCGCTTTAGCAACAGCTTTAAAACTTTATTATTTAATTAAGACGTTTTTGGCTGTGGTTATGGTCACGGTTTTTGCCATTTTAATAATGTTACCAAACATGTATAAAGATATTTTTGATGATTGTACTTCAAGGTAATAAAACTCAATGATTTAATTTCATATTAAAAAATATCTCACTTTTTTAGTACTCTTCCCTTATCGGCTCAAATGTTTATATTATTAGGAGTATTTTTCTTGATGGTTGCTTATCACGCTAGATTAGTTGAAGTTACGAGTCGTTTAGATTTCTTATGGAAACAACAAGCCGGGAAAGAACTTGCTGATATGCAAGAAACAAGACAAAATAACACACAGTTATTGAAGAATATTTTACCTGATCATGTTGCAAAACATTTTTTATCAACTGATAGAAATGTAGATGTAATAAAAAAATAATACGACTAAAAATGTGGAGATTAATGTAATTATTTTTAGGAATTGTATTCTCAATATCGCGATGAAGTAGGAGTTATGTTCGCAAGTATTCCAAATTTTACGGAATTTTATTCAGAAGCTGTTAATAAAGGAATGGAATGTATCAGATTATTAAATGAAATAATCGTTGATTTTGATCAACTTTTAGAAGAAGATAGATTTAGTTCAATTGAAAAAATTAAAAGTGTTTGTGCAACGGCAACTTACATGGCGGCGTCCGGCTTAAATCCGGGCCATAAAGTAAATTAAATCTATTAATCTAAATTATTTTTTGAGTTAACTTTTTTTGTAGGATTTCATGAAAACAGATAGTCCTGAACATTTATGCGCACTCGTCGATTTTGCTTTATCAATGAAACAAAGATTAGAAGACATCAACACCCACTCCTTTAACACTTTCGGTTTACGAGTTGGAATTTCTTGTGGGCCGTTAGTTTGTGGTGTTATCGGAGCTAGAAAACCAGTTTTTGATATTTGGGGTAACACAGTTAACGAAGCATCTAGAATGGATTCAACTGGTGTTATTGGAAAAATACAAGTTCCAAAATATACTGCTCAAGTAATGTCAATTACAACTAAAATTACCTCAACACATTTTTTTTTTATTTAAAGATTTTAGGTGTTAGAGGATACGAAGTAACTTATAGAGGACGGATTGAAGTAAAAGGAAAAGGTCAAATGGACACTTATTTTGTTATTGGAAAATCGGCTGGAAAACCACCGTGCTTCCAAAGACAACCGAGTCAATGTAATAGTTTAGCGGCTGTTGTTTACGCGATGGCACAAACTAGGAAGAAACATACTGGAAATACACGTAATTGTATACTTTTAAATTTTAATCAAAAAATTGTGTGTGTTTTTTTAGCGGGAAGTGCAGTTCTTGGAAGAGCAAAAAGTCAACAAAAATCTGGTACAACAAATCCACGGAAATTAATCAGTTATAGTTCGATGAGATTAACACATAAAACCCCATCAAATCCAGTTCGAAGAAATACAACAAAAGCTAATCAAAAAAATCTACATGCAAAGTAATAAAAACTGTTTATTTATAGTAGTGTATAATTGGACCGCGTTATGCATCACTTGACTAAGCGACAAATGAACAATGTTCTGACTTCTCAGACTAGACAGGCTCAAACTATTGAAAATTGTTAGGTGCCTGTCTATTTTTATCACAGAACACTGATGACAGCTATCACAAGATTATACAGGGTGAGTCAGAAAGAATGGGAAATCCGAATACCGGAGACACTAGACACCAAAATATGACGATTTAACCTAACATGTCTTATATAAATGTCGGTGGCTTTTAATACACAGGGTGTTGAAAGTTAAATTTTTATTTCGAAATTTCTTGATAATTTTGAAGGTTTTTGTACTATTAACATAAATTTTGGTAGTTAGATGTTTTCGAACATGAGAAATACGAATTTGATATTTGTTTTGTGACTACTTGTAGAGGGCGCTAGATAATAATAATAGTAATAATAAATGCCTTTATTAGAAAATAAGCTTAATTGTACAAAAAAAACATACAAAAGAAAATAGGCGAGTTCCAGCTTGTACTAGTTAGTACAGCTGCTCTAACTAACCTAAGAAACAAAAAAGAAAAACATGAATCGGCCAAAAATTACAAAGCAAAAGCTAGATACAACAACAAGATTGCAAAACATGTCAGATCAGCGTTTGCCCCCATGTAGACATTGTTCAAGAAAACAAGAATATTTCTGTGTAAATTTAAACCTTCGTAGTGAGAACCCCTTGCAATTATCGTCCACCTCATTATATTTCGAAGTTATTTGAAATATGTATGATCTCTGAAACAAAGACAAACGATAGAAGGGTGGCGACAGTCTTCCGCGAAATCGCGTATTTATTCGGTGGACATCATTTCGCAGTTTATAATTTTATGGTATAGGCACAAACACTGCACTTTCCTACGATGATACATATTTAGCCATCCCGCATCCTTCAGTTTATAAGATATTCTGTTATATTTTCTAATTCCATATATATACCGAAGACACGAATTTTGCACTCGTTGAATACGTGTTACATCGCTAACGTCAATGCACGAATGGTAGACCTCAGCACAATAAGTGAATTGAGCCAACACAGAGGCTTCGCACAACACCTTTTTCAGATGAATACCAAGGTAGTGTCGATGAGGAAACAACATACTCAGATGATAATAAGCCCTGGATATACAGTTGGAGACATGCTTCTTATAGCGAAAACTGTTGTCCATAATCATACCCAAATTCTTTACCTCACTAACCAAAGGAATGTTACAACCATCAATTTGCAAATCAATACTTTCCCGAAAACCATTACATATAGCGGAATTTCCAAAAAGTATAGCATTGGATTTACTCGGATTAAGATGTAGACCGTATTCCCGAGCCACTTTATGAATGTAATCAAGGTCTTTTTGCATATTCGTAATACCCAACGCGAAGTCGCGTGGATCAAAGGAAACATACATCTGCAAGTCATCCGCATACATATGGTACTCACAATGATTTAACCCCCTAACGATTTGAGATGTATATAAAGAAAATAGAATAGGCCCTAAAATAGTACCTTGTGGTACACCCTTGCTCAAACAGCGAAATTCAGACAAAGCATCACCGATTCTAACCGACTGATGCCTATTACTTAAATAATTTTCAATTAAGTTTAAAGCGGATTCACTGAAGCCAATATACTTTAACAATTCCACAAGCAAATCATGACAAACACTATCAAAAGCTCTACTAAAATCCAACAAGACTACCAACGTACATAATCCTTTATCTCGAGCCTGTAAAATATCATTAGTTACCTTGAGAAGAGCAGTACTGCAGCTATGGTTTCTACGAAAACCAGATTGATGCTTCGGTAAAATATTATTAATTTGAACAAATTGATGCAACTGATTAAACATAATTCTTTCCAGAACTTTAGATAAAATTGGCAATATGCTAATCGGCCGCAGATCTTTAGGCTCAGATGGGTCACGTTTTTTCGGGATAGGAACCACAATTGACAACTTCCAACAGTCAGGTACATCCGAAGTTTCAATGCAAACATTGAGTAAATGTGTCAAGTAGGGTAATATAAATGGAAGACACATATTCAACATACTCATACTGATATTATCAGCACCGGCAGCTCTAGAAGAAATTGAGGAAATAGCTTTTATTACATCAGCTTCGGATACAAAGACAAACTTAAAATTAGTTTGAATCAAATTTAAAGGCGGTAAGTCATTAAAACTGAAACGCGTTGCAAGGTTCAAAGAAGGGACTGAATCAATAAAGAAATCGTTAACCTCATCTGGTCGATTCAAGTGAGCAGGGATTTGCTGTGAACATTTCGTACCACAAATACCCAAATGATTCAATTGTTTCCACAGTTCAGCACCCCGAGACGTCTGATATAAAAATTCCAGATATGATTTTCTTTCTCTTCTAATGCAGGTTGTAGTAAAATTCCTCAGCTCCTTATAAGCAACCCAATCAGCACCTGAACGAGTACGCTTGTATTTATTCTTTGCCCTATCACGTTCGTCCATAAGCAATTTAATATTTGGTGTTAACCAAGGTACGACCTTTTTGGTAAACCTCCTTACGGTTAAAGGGGCATGTCTGTCAAATAAAGCCAGCAACAAGTTATTAAAGTTTTGAACTTTACAATTAATGTTATCCATGAAAAATATTTTGTGATAAGGCACCGACTACAGATCGCTATTGAAAGCACATTCATCGACACCACGCAGCATACGCACGGTTAATAACCGAGGAGGAATCTTAGGTACTTTCAAATCTATTTCGCAAAAAATCAAGTCATGATCAGATAAATCACACGGCAATACACCACTAACACTCACCAAACGACAGCAAGATGTGACGATGATATCCAACAATGTCATAACAGCATTGGTCACACGAGTCAGATCACCTATTAGTTGCACAGCCGAGCATACATCCAAGAATTCATGAAACAGGTTAATAAATGGACCATCCACGTTCAGAAGATCGATGTTCAGGTCACCCAAACAAAAAATGTTTTCGGTTTCAGCAACACAAGTAGTGTATACTTCCTCAACACTACTCAAAAAGTCTCTACAATTAATGTGAGGCGGTCTGTATATCCCACCGACAAAAATAGAGGACTTAGGAAAGAAAAATTGAAGCCAGACCTGCTCAATATCACCACCAACCGCAATAGGTTTATAGTCAAAGTAATCACGGAAGACTATCGCAACACCCCCACCACGATCAGTCCTATCAAATCTGACAATTCTATAACCATCAAATCCAAAATCGTACTCAGTATTTGGATTCAACCACGTTTCGGTCAAAACCAAAACATCAAAATGATTCTCACATAATATAGTTTTAACATCTACTAATTTAGGCAAAAGCGATCTGACATTCAGATGTGCAAGGCGTATCAAATGCATACAAATAATAAACTAAAGTTATTCTATATACAGACAAAATTAACAAAAAGAAAAAAAACAAAATAAAGAACAAAGAGAGGCACGAAATACCTAGTCTCCTCTCCGCCGTAACCACATACAGCTACATTTAAGAAGTTTATTCATTTATTTATTTTAATTTATTTCATTTTATTTTTTTACACACTGTACGTTTGAGATATCAAGTCATGACTATTTTGTCAGTTAAGGTATGGTGAATTAGAATCAGAAATCTGAAGGTGTTTTCAATTCTGCACAAAAAAGGTACTTTTGCTTACATTTTCTAAGTCTACTGGTTTCCAAGTTATCTGCTTTTAATTGTTACAAAGTAATTTTAAGGTTAACATTTAAAATCAATAACACAGTAACTATAGCAATTAGTAACGATAATAATCCATAACAATAACAATTAATTAATAACAATAGAATATTGTGACCATTTTCAAAAATCCAGTGGACTTAAATCTGGATTTCTCACTATTAAAAAACTCATTATGTCGTGGCATTTTCAAATTGGTAATAACTTTATTGTTGGTAAAAATGATTATTGCACACGGAAATTAGATCAATATTGACAATTAACAGGCAATTGTCGAAACATAAGCGGAAAAATAACCCAACTTTGCTTATGTTAAAAATTAAATATTTTAGAACAAAAAATACATTTAAACATTTAAAAGTAAATAATTCGAAAACCAATAAACTTAGACAATTTCAATAAGAGTACCTTTTTTATGTAAAATTGAATGCTCTTTGTGATTTGCACCTCTTATTGGTCGTAGCTGTCGAGCCAAAAAACTTATGATTTGATTTATAAAACGAGCAGCGTGTATCTAGCGCCCTCTACGAGCAATAACAAAACAAGTTTCAAATTCGTATTTCTCATGCTCGAAAACATAAAACTACCAAATTTTATGTTAATAGTACAAAAACCTTCAAAATTATCAAGAAATTTCGAAATAAAAATTTTACTTTCAACACCCTATTCCTCAAAAACCACTGACATTTGTATAAGAGATGTTAGTTAAATCATCATATTTTGGTGTCTAGTATCTCCGGTATTCGGATTTCCCATTCTTTCTGACTCACCCTGTATAGTGTGTTGTGGCATAAATTTAATCAAAATGATGAGTAAATAATCTAGAGTTTGATTTTGTACTCTTAAACTGGTTTTTATTTTATATAAAATTTAAGTCTAACTGGTTTCGGCCCTTGGCCATCTTCAGACACTCTACAAATAGATTAAAATCACTCACCTTATCTATTATACAAACAAGTTTCTTAATATTTCTTTTTGTTTTGTTAAAAAAGATCACATATCAAAGTCGAAATCAGATTATTAGTTACTAATTTACAAAATTAAAGTTTAAAAAGTTGTAAAATGAAATTAAGGACGAAGTGTTACCAGTTTACAGGTTCAAATTTAAGAGCGCTCTTTTTTAAGAAAAGAAATATTAAGAAACTTGGGAAAAATTCAAGAATCATCATGTGGCTTCAAAATCGACGATTTTTTTAATCAATGTGAAATGACCCAAAAAACATGTTAAAAATCCGGTTAACTTC